GCTCATGTGCAGCCTTACACACCACCTCATGAACAGTCTCTTGATCTTCCTCACAATCCTATGGGTCCTCCACTCTTCCATAATGCTGTCTCAGTGTGTTCATCCTTTGAGAATCTTGTGTGGATGATCATAGCTGCCCTGATTTTACAATGACAATGGCTATTTGATGCCTAGAAGTCAAAGTTCTATCATACCCTACCTTTTCCTATGTATCTTATATTTTTCTTCCTCAATGCTCCTTGAAACTTGGAGGGAGTGATAAATATCTGTTTATTTTCTCCTATTTAGGTCTCAACATTGGGCATTATGTCACATCAGTACCAACTTATCCTCGGCATGTGGACTGGTGATGAGTCTCTACAATATCCACTATGAAAATATATTTCCCAGAGCAAGACTGACAATAGCACTAATCTTTGGGAAAAACTTAATGTCTGGAAAATAATTTTTTGACATGCCACGTCCATTTAGAAAAATGGGAGTAGCAGCTTCTCCATAAAGGTTTATGATGTCCTTAATCACAGGTTTTGTCCTAGTATATGAGTTACTGTTCTTGTTGCTGTGATAAAATGTCCTGACACAAGAAACTTAAAATAAAAAGAGTTTATTTTGGTTTAAAGTTCCAAAGACATAGAGTCCAGGGGTAATGAGAGACGGGGGGGGTCTAAGACTGATTAAAATGTATTATATGAGATTCACAAAATTCATTAAAAATATTATAGTGTGAAAAAGAAAAAAAAGAAACAATGAGAAAAGGTTTTATTTTTCCTTACATTTCAAGGATAAAACTTGTCTTATGGATGATTCTAGATTCTGTCAAGTTGGCAACTTTTTTGACAGTGTCTCCCTAGTCCCAGCCCATCTGGAAGTCACTCTATGGATCAGATGGCCTCAATCTCACAGAGATCCACCTGTCTCTGCTTCCTCCAGGTTGAGATTAAATGTGTGTGGCAGAACGCTGACTCAAGTTGGCAATATTAGCTATCACAAGTCCAACTCTTGTCAACATAACACCTGAACATATCACTTTTAAACCTTAACTTTCATTCCTGTCTATCAATAGGATCATGGACATCTCATAATGCAAAATGAATTCAGTCCAACTTCAAAAGTCCCATCTCTCCAGCCACGCTCTTACACTTACTACAGCCTCTTCTGACTTCTGAGGGCATTACACAACACAGGTGCACTTACCTACATGCAGGCAATGCACGCATACACATAAAATTTTTAAAAATTAATAAATTTTTTTTAAAATTGGGACTTAAACTCTGTTTTATGTTCTTTGTTTTACCGTTAACATGCATCATTGTTTTATTTTATTTTATTTAAAATTTTTATTTATTTTTTATGTGTATGAGTGCACATGAATAGGTGCAGCCCCGTAGTACAATGCCCACAGAGGTCAGAAAAGGTCAATGAATTCCCCCAGAATGGGAGTCACTGACAGTTGTTTACCACCATGTTAGTGCTAGAAATGGAACCCAGGTCCTCTGCAAGAGTAGTCAGTGATCTTAACCACTGAGCTGTCTCTTCAGTCCTGTGTCTTTGTTTTAATTGCGCATAGGAGAAAGAAACACATAATCATCTTCATAAAGAAATGATATGCAATACTTGTCACTGGTTCTATCAGAAAAGAGAATTATTCTTTCTGGAGATTATTTTTAAATGTCTGTCTTTCAAACTTAAAGTCAATATTATACTTTTTGGTGGAACACTAGCCAATTCCATTTACAAAGATGTCCATTATCCCAAAAATCAAACAACATTTCAAATACTTAAGTCATTTATGTTATAGTGAAGACTAAAAGAGAATTATTTGAACATTATTGATTCTGTGGGAACATACTAACACTGGGCAGAAGACCATTAAAATAGGTGCCTTAGTGTGGTCTTTATTCCCTGGAAAACTTTACCTGTTCTTTTTGACCCAACAGATGTTGAAGCAAACAAAATACATACCATATGGGGACTGTTCTAGTTTGCCTTCAATTGCTCTGACAAAACACTCTGACCAATACCAACTTGCTGAGGAAAGGATTTATTTTATCTTACATCTCCCAGGTCACAGTTCATCAATGAGGGAGCCCAAGATAGGAACTCAGGGCAGGAACCTGGAACACAGAGCTGTAGCACACAGACCATGAAGGAAAACTGCTTACTGGCTCACTCAAACTGGCCCATGTTCAAATTGCTTTCTTGTACAACACAGGACCACCACCCAGGGATGGGACTGTCCACAATGGGCTAGGCACTCCAACATTACTCAGTAATCAAGAAAATGCCCCACAGACATGGCCACAGGCCAGTTCAATGGAGGCAATTCACCAATTGAGGCGCCTTCTACCCAGGTGTGTCAAGTTGACAACCAAAGCTATCCAGCACAGAGACATTTTATTATTTTCTTGTAATTAGGTACATTTATGAAAATGATATGTTAATTGGATCTGGAAAATACCTTGGTAATAACATTTCATAAAATTTTAAGTCAAGGACTTGTCATGCTCAATCATTTCCTGTTGGGAAAGAATTATGGTTCCATTTTGACTTTATTAGTAATATATTATTATTATTTTATTTTTTAATTTTTATTGTTTTTTTTATATATATATGCTTGTAGATTCTGATTTGTGTACCCAAATATCCTTCAGTGTAGGACCATCCACTGGATCCACCAAGAATCCCATCCCTGTAAGATACCATCTTTCCCTCTCTCAGCAGACATCAATTTCCAAAAGTTCCTTAGGTTGGGTTGAGATTTTTTGCCTACTTCTACATGTCTATGCTGTGATTTTGTCAGGTTTGAGCTTGTGTAAGACTTGTACATGCTGTCAAAACTGCTGTGAGTTTATATGATTTCTGAACCGCTGTCTGGAAGGCTCTATTTCCGTGTGGTCATATACCACCTCTGAGTCTTACAATCTTTTGGCTTCCTCTTCTGCTATGATCCCTTTGCCTTGGGAGGCAGTGGTTTGAAACAGTTATCAGGGATAAGCATTCTGCTGCCTCTTTTTCTCTGCTCATCTTCCAGTTGTGGGTTTCTATGCTAAACACCATCCACTGTATAAGGAAAAGTTCCCGGTAAGAGTTGGAAGATGCATTCATTCTGTGTGTTGAGGTGCTATTGAAGATGTGTCACTTAGGGTTAAGCATCTCACACATACTTATTTTCTGCACATGACCAGTTTTAGAACTCTGTAATAGTCTCCATCTGTAGCAAAAAGAAGCTTCTTTTATGAGGGGTGAGATGTACACTTGTCTGTATATATGAGGATGCATATTTATAATAAAGTAAGAAATTATGTCTCTTTAATTTCCTTTATTCTCAGAGAAAATATAGTGAAGGAAGGAAAAGAGCATGGGGTGGAAGAAGAGGAAAGTAGAGAGAGAAGGGGATGGAGGGAGTGAGGAGAGGAGGGGGAAGGAAGGAGGGAGAGAAAAGATGGAGGAAGGGGCAGAAGGGGGAGGGAGGGATGGGGGCACAGAGGAAGGAAGGGAGGGGGATAAGGAAAACTACCAGTACGTATGTTTTATCTCACAGTTTTAGAAGTTATTTACATAAAGTTTAATTAGAGTTAGTAGGTACCTCACCTCCATAGGAAGTGAACTTCTTTCATTTACAAAGGAAACCAATTTTGAAAGCAACTGGTTTTCTTTCCTGTAGGCACCTTAATCACACACCAAATATAACAAAAAGAATGAAAAGATTTAGGATGAGCACCACAGATGCACATCCTATTACATTTTTCTGCTGCTTTCCAGAGGTGGCTATAGCAGGCTATTCATGTGAATTTGGGGGACCCTCTGTTTCCTGGGATTTACAACTCTAACTCTCTTCTAGCGTCTTCACACAACACTGGGTATATTTCTTAGCATCGTGGGACCTCAGCTTCTTCTCATGGAAAATAATTTAGTCTCATATATGTGAGAACTAAAAAAAATATGAACAACACACTATCTGCTGCATAAACATATTTAAAATGCTCATTTTTTAATTCTATACCATCTCTCTCCAATAAATAAACAGAAAAGTAGACACTGGTTCTTGCTCTTTTGTGAAAAGCAAGTAAAGAAAAGATGTTTACAATTTTTCAACAATAAATGAAAGAATAAACTACATAGAAAGAACAAAGAAAGAACTATATCCAAAAAACTAAAAAACCAATTTGAGGGCATTTGATCACTAAATGAAGATTTAATCAAGAGTTCTTTATTTCTAAAACATGCAGGTTTCTCTCATCTTATTAAACAACACTGAGCACAGAACACATGTGCTATTTCTTTTTCCTTTTTCCTTCATATGACTCTTGCACCTAAATTATTTAAACATTACCACCTACTTTATAAATTCATTTAAATTTTTTATTTACTTTTCATTTCTGCCACTCAATCAATACTAACAACATGTAAATAACGAAACTTTGCTTAACAAAACTCTCTAAATTCCTGTTCCTAAGCCAGCCTGGCTTCCCATAATAGTAAAACACAGTTGCATGAATTCACAACACATTTTAAAATTCATAAGTTGAATTTTATATTTTAAGTGATGGAGAGTATATTTACTTTTCCATAATTCATAATTATATTTCATTTCTTATACAATATTTATGCACGTTTTATGTATAAAAAATTACAAAGCTCTATTTTAAGAAACAGGCGTAAATGTACATATATTTCTCTGTTTAAAATCTTTAAAAGGCAATTAATTGACATAAAATTAATGTTATTCATTATAATAATTTCTTGCATTCTAATGGTCTACAGTGATATAATTTTTAATATCTGGATATTTACATACTCACTTTTATATGTATTACAAAATGTGTAATAGGTTTAGATAGTATTTATTCCAAACATATTCTTGTAAATTGAAAAAGTTGCAATCATTAGAAAAACATAAAGGAGAGCAAAATTTTACAAATACAAGAGCATTTCATAATGTGACTTTCTTTTAGAATGTTCGAAATGATCAAAATACATGAACCACAGGCCAATAGACCCTAGTGTCCTTCAGCGTCTTTCTTTCTGCACCTCAACCACCATAGCACAGAAACAGAGGCTCTTCTCAGCTTCCTGTTTGCAAGAATCAGGACACAGGAGTGCCCTGAGGGAAAAGCAGTTCTAGCAGCCTGGGAAAACAAAATGATCAGCTTTCTCTCTAACATTAGAGAGCTCCAGTCTTTCACAAGAAAAGACAGGAAAACAATGGCATATAGTAGGAGAGAGGCGATCATTGTTTGCATGATTCTGACTTGGGCTGTGGTCCTGGCATCTCTGCATCCTTGAGCACTGTGCTGCATCCTCCTCAGATGCTTCCACAGAGAGATGATGAGCAGGAGAAATGTGATCAATGACAAGGCAAAGGGAAGGAACATGGACATGGTGTTCACAAGTAGAAAGGTGACAGAAACCTGTGTGCTCTTCCAACTGGAGTTGTAAGATGAGTTTGTTTTATGGTCACCAACCAGGACATCAGTATATACATTTAAAACTACAATATTCAAATACAAGAAAACCAAGGACACCAGCAGTGTCAACGTCACCACCTTTTTAACTCTCACCTTAAGGTAAAGAAAAATAGTGTTAGAAAAATTGGCTATCTTGAGAAAATAAAAGATGCTGAGAATTGTAGCAAACCAGAGACTAAAGTGACTAGCTCCCATCCCGGTGCTGTACATGACTCTCACCATGGTTTCAGTGTTCCATCTGCCTGGGTAAATCACAGGTAGCCACCAATTCAGTAATACTAACCAGAGCAGCACAATTCTGGAGATGGCCAGAGCAGTGAGGATTTGATCCACTGAAGAGATCTTTCTTGTCTTGACCCAATCCATGATGTTCACCACTACTATAAATCCATTTCCCAAATTTCCAATAATAAATTCCACAATCAAAATGACTGTAAATATAATATATAGGCTGTCACACATCTTTAAATGATTCCTCCAATTTCTAATCACCTGCTTAAAATTTGTTAATACATACATCTAAAATGTTATCCAATTATTAAAACTCATAGAATGTTTCCTTAAACAGCTTGTATATAGAATGAAAAAAACAAGTCACTAAGCCTTGCTGATGATTTGATTCATATATGTTTCATGATAAAAATCTCACATTTATCTAGACAGCCAAACTGAGCTTTACCAGATGCAATATACCTTACACACAGCAGCCTAGACACATTAGCAGCTGATGGAGAAAGAAACTCTGAATTCTCATGTGCTAAGATGCAAATCAAGATATATTTGCATTTTTTTCAGTTTTCTCTACATGTTAATCTGGCTACTTGAAAAACAGGCAAGCCACATAACAAAATTGTAACATAAATACAAGACAACAAAAATCAAATGCGTACATAATCCCTTAGCCTTAATTTTCCTTACACACTTTAAAATTAGCTCTGCTCCTAAATCTACACATACCTTGTGCAAATTATATCCTGAAAACTTTCATTAATGTAATAAATCCATGGAAATCATTATTTGCAAAAATTCAGTACTGAGAACATTTATTCATCACTTTACCATATATAAAGTTGTGCATATGCCAGCAGACACATTCACCCATAAATGGAAATTTTATCTCAGTCCAAAGCCCCTTCTTATTCACATCATTTATTCAGTTCATTCTGCATTTATTATTCCTCTGACTCATATATGGTACTATGATAATTTTGAAGATAGTAAAGACATCTTAAAGATTTTAATTTTTGTAACTATCAATTACGGAACATTAAAAAATATTCAGTAAAATTGAACTGTTGTATCTCTGAATGTGAAGATGTGTGAATGAATACCTCAGTGACACTCAGAAGTAGTCACTGATGTGAATGGATTTACATACACAGCCATATTTCCCCTACTTTTGTGCCTGGACCTTGCCTAGTAGAACACATTCTTGCGAGATGCCAAGAGCCTATAGATTTTATCCATCTTCCCTCACCTATAAAACACCTATTCCATGATCATTACTATAAGCTCTGAATTTCATGAAGATATATGGCCTCACATGGGAATCAAGCAGAATGAGAGAGTTCTTCATCTTCAGTAGCTAATACTTAAGCAAAGGAACAACAATACAATTTAAACAGCAAATAACAAGACAGTAGGAAATCATGTACCATTAACCTCAGAAAGATGTGTTTTTCCAGTGCATAGGGCTAACTCCTTTAGTTACCTAAAGTACTATTAACCCAAAGAGAGAGAGAGAGAGAGAGAGAGAGAGAGAGAGAGAGAGAGATTGAAATCTGAAGTGAAATCTGAATAATCAGCCTTACTCATCTCTGTGTTTAATTAGATGAGATCAACTACCATCATTTGGGGGATAGACACACTGAGGTAACATAGCAGGGCAGCCTAGGCAAACCTTCACAAAAATACAAAATAGAGATCCACAAATATTCCCTCAGTGTAGAAGCTGGAACGTTTCTTTAACCTGGCTCTTTGCGCGCATCAATGATGAGCTCTGGAAAGAAGACCAAGAAAACTGTAAACAGTTCTGGGTTCATAACCCTGTGCAATGCACTGTGGGTATTGAAACTTCACAGACTTAGAGTCTCTTCTCCTTAGACTCTCTTTTTTATCCCAGTTCTCCATTGAGGGATACGTTGACTGTGATGGGCTTCCCTGAGGTCAGGACTGCACCTTTGATTCCAGATTAGAAATCTTAAATTTTGGTTCCACCTAAATTTAGGAAATGTAGTGTCCTTTCTAGGTAATGTGAGAACAGCACCAAGGACAATTCCTAAATCTCACATTTCCTCATTATCCATTTCCAAGTCAATATTATATGTAGGTGCATTTAAAAGAACTATATACTTACTGGTATTTTTTTCAATTATTAATTCATAAGAAGTTTTATATATTTATTGCATCAGAATTAAATCAAAATTGCTTAAGCTAACCATAACTCTCTCCAAATATCTCTCTATTTAGATCTATGTATCTGTAGTAAAGATATTCGTTTTCTCAATATCATCATCAATATTTGTTATTTTAAATGAAACAAATTATAATCTAGGTCGTCACCTGATTTAAGAAAAATCCAAGTTAATGTATTATTGGCAAAGCTGCTTTCTTCCCCCCTGGCCTTTTATTATTTTTATGTTTGAGTCTCTCTTGGTCTTCTGTTATTTTTATATTTACCTTTAAAATTAGAAGAAAAATAGCGTTTGCCAATGTGAGATGATAGGTAGGTAGATAGATAGATAAATAGATGTAGATAATAGATAAATGATAGATAGATGATACATAGATAGATGATAGATAGATAGATGATAGATAAATAGATTGATTGATTGATTGATGATAGATGATAGATAGATAGATGATAGATAGATGGGCACTGAAAGTGAGGCTCCTACCACAGCTGCTGTGTCCCAGTCTCAAATACTGCATATCACTTCTTCTGCTCGTTTTCCATCAGGGTTTCCTAGTCATTACGCCTGCAGGGTACCACGTTCTGGTCCTGCAGTTCAAGACTTTGGTTACCGGCTGTCCCCTAAATGCCATTAAACCCGCAGATTGAGTTGTGGTGTGGCTCTGTAACAGTGTACTTTCCTAGCATATCACAGGGCTGAATTTCATCGCCAGACACCAGAAATGGAGACAGAGTGAAAGATGATTAGGTACATTAATAGATACATAGACAAATGGATGGATGGATGAATGGATGGATGTATAGAACATAGGTCATAGAGGTGATAAATAGAAAGTTAGAGCGATGTCAGATGCCTACATGATACATAAATGGATGACTGATGATATAGATGATAGAGAGGTGGTAGATTGATAGATACATAGATACATAGATAGATGATAGATAGATAGATAGATGATAGAGATAGATGATAGACAGATAGATGATGACAGATAGATAGATAGATGATAGATATAGATAAAAGAAAGATGATAGATGGA